CTCATTAAGAAAGTTGAGGCCTAATCCCTCATGATGGAGATTAGGGCCTACTTTTTCTTCTATTAGATGCAGGGTCTCTGGTTTTATTCCTAGGTCCTTTTTTTTTTTTTTTTTTTTTTTTTTGGTGCTTAGCTTTGAACTCAGGGCACTTAACCATTGAGCCACATCCCCAGCCCTTATTCCTAGGTCCTTGATCCATTTTGAGTTGAGTTTTGTGCACAGTGAGAGATAGGGGTTATACAATCAATCAACAAATATATGAAAAAAAATGTTCATCATCACTAGCAATTAGAGAAATGCCAATCAAAACTACTCTAAGATTTCATCTCACTCCAGTCAAATTGGCAGCTATTATGAAGACAAACAACAATAAATGTTGGCGAGGATGTGGGGAAAAAGATACACTCATACACTGCTGGTGGAACTGCAAATTGGTGCAATCAATATGCAAAGCAATATGGAGATTTCTTGGAAATTTGGGAATGGAACCACCATTTGACCCAGCTATCCCTCTCCTCGGTCTATACCCCAAAGGACTTAAAAACATCATAGTACAGGGACACAGCCACATCAATGTTTATAGCAGCACAATTCACAATAGCTAAACTGTGGAACCAACCTAGATGCCCTTCAATAGATGAATGGGTAAAAAAAATATGGCATTTATAAACAATGAAATATTACTCAGCAATAAAAGAGAATAAAATCATGGCATTTGCAGGTAAATGGATGAAGTTAGAGAAGATAACACTAAGTGAATTTAGCCAATCCAAAAAAAATCAAATGCAGAAAGTTTTCTCTGATATAAGGAGGCTGATTCATGGTGAGGTAGGGAGGGGGAGCTTGGGAGGAATAGACTCTAGATAAGGCGAGCTGGGGGGGAGGGGCGGGTATGGGATTAGAAATGATGGTGGAATGTGATGGACATTATTATCCAAAGTACATGTATAAAGACATGAATTGGTGTGAATATACATACAACCAGAGATATGAAAAATTTTGCTGTGTATGTGTAATAAGAATTGTAATGAATTCCATTGTCATATTTAAATAAAAAATATTAAAAGAAAAAGAAAATATGGTCTTTGAATTTCCATTGCCCCTTCATCAAAAATCAGTTGACTATATTTACATGGTTTTCATTGTGGCTCAGTGGTAGAGCCTTGCATGCATGAGGCACTAGGATCGATCCTCAGCACCACATAAAAATAAATAAATAAAATAAAGATCTTTTGTCCATGTAAAACAAAAAAAAATTAAAGAAATTTATACACTCAAATTTATCAAATCTATGGTGAAGATTTGTTTATGGTATTCTTTTATCTTTTTAAAGTCATGAGATCTGTACTGATATTTTCTTTTATTTCTGATAAGGTAAAATTTTGTCTTTTTTTTTTTCTTAGTTACCCTGGTTAATAAAATCAATTGTCTTAGTCTTTTTGAACTAGGTTTTGGTTTTGTCAACTTTTATTAATTCCATGCTTTCAATTTCATTAATATCTACTCTAATTTTTATTATTTATTTTCTTCTATTTACATGGGATTTAATTGCTCCTTCTTTGGACTCTCCTAAAATGGAAGCCTAGACTATTGATTTTATCTTTCTTCTTTTATAATATATGCATTCAATGCTATAAATTTCTCTCTGAGGATTGTATTCATTACAATCTACATATCTTAATTTGTAGTTTAATTTAGCTCAAGATATTTTAAAATTTTCTTTTAGATTCTTTGTGATCCTTGAATTATTTTAAAGTGTGCTATGTGATCTCCAAATCTTTGAGGGATTTTCTATTTGTTATTTATTTGTAGCTTAATACTGTGGCTAGAGAGTATAGATTGTATGATTTCTATTTTTTAATGTATTAAGGTGTATTCACAGCCCAGAATTTGTTTTATATTTTTGTGTACTCCATTTAAACTAGAGAAGAATGTGTATTCTGTCGTTCATTGCATTAAAGAGTGTATAGATAGCAATTATTTCCAGTTGAGTCACAGTTTTTCTGAGTTCAGTTATGCTCTTACTGTATGATAGGTCTGTCATTTTTTAAAAGGGGGATATTGGAATATCCATAATCTATTTCCTCTTTCTGCTTTATCAGTTTTGCCTCATGTACATTAATACTATCACATCTGGCAATACACCCAAGAACTGCCATATCACTGGAGAATTTATCTTGCCATCATACATGAAGTTCCCCTTATTCCTCATAATTTTCCTTGCTCTATAGCCTGCCTTGTCCAAAATGAATAGAGCTATTCTAGTTTTCTTGGATTTGTATTAGCGTGGCATATCTTTCTCTTTTTATCTGTATTTTCTTTGTTTACTTATTATGAATGACATTACTTCAATTGATACATATTTCATTCCTTTTCAGTATACACAAAACTTAAATCTAAAATAAATGCTGCAAATGTCAATGTTTAGGAACATTAGAAAATTACAGACAAAATTTGTCTAGCAATCTTCCCAGCATTTTAGGAAAAAAAAAAGTTGATTAAAAACTCAAGGAGCAGAAGGGGGCAGTAAAACTCAACAGAATGCTCTGAAGATTTTTAAATATTCTTTATTTTCCCTTCATACTGAAAGTTTCCCAACAAATTTGAGATCAATAAAAGAAGTCTTGTACAACAGATACATACATGTGCCTAAAATATACACAGAAACACCATATTATACAAAATTGAGATCTATAATTTTTATATAACAAAACCTTGCCCTGTGTGGTACAAAATAATCATTGTGCTTTTCTATATAAAATGTTTAGCCGTCTTGAATTGATTTGAGATATTCAATATGCCTTTTGTGACCAGCATCTCAAAATGTACCTATTCATTTCATTTTATCTGTGTCACACTAGTTAAATTACATAATGACCTTTCCCTTTTTTTTCCCCAAGCCCATATTTGGACTTCCTTTCAAAACTGAGTCTTGGTTTCTTCTAGAGCTTTTTTCTTTTCTTTTTTCTTTCTTTCTTTTTTTTTTTTTTTTTGTAGGGTGGGGGTGGGATTGAACACAGGGGCAATTTACCACAGAGCTATCTGCCCATCATTTTATTTTTCATTTTGAGACAGGGTCTGGCTAAGTTGTTTAGGAAACCTCCCTAAATTGCTTAGGGTTTAACTAAATTGCTGAGGCTGACCTTGAACTTGTGATCCTCCTGCTTCAGGTTTTGCAGCTTCTGGGTTTACAAGAGTGTCCCACCCTAACAGGCAGGGTATGGCTTCTTACAGCCATCTAATCAAGATAAGATTAGTAGCTTTAAAACTGAAAATTTAATTTAAAAAAATAAATTTTTAGTAGCTGCAACCTTATTCATTTAAAATTAGGATGAAAAATAGGAATTTTTAAAAGGAATTATTAAAATAAATGTTCTGTGCGCTGGTTGAAATTTTATATAGGAATCAGTGCAACAAATAAATGGGGTGCCACAATGGGGAGCTCCAATATGACTGGAAGAGTACACAAGTTTTCTGGATGGGATAGGATTTTAGTCATTTGTGTCTCATTGTAGCATCAGATAATGTGGACATTAAGCAAAAAGGTAAAACAAACAAAAAAATTTTTCTCTCTTCTTATGACTTCTACACATCGATGAATCTGGTGTAATTTGGATTTCAGGTTTTTTTTTTTTTTCAATCTTTTTCTATTCATCCTAAGAAAGTAGGGCTTAACTGAATTTGTTGTTCTCTACCTATTTTGGTTTAATACTTCAAACTCACATACCTCTCTTTGACCACCACCAAAAATAAACAGTAAGGAAAAACAAGGGAAAATGAAATTCAAAACTGTCAAAATCACCTTTTTTTTTTCATCTAATACATTTCTCATCCAACTATGTTCCAAAATGAGGTTTTAAAATTAACTCTAATAAGCCCAGACAATTAAAAAGCAAATGAAAGTTATGTTTTCTTTGATCCGTGGTCACAACTCATCAACTTTTTATTGGGAATTGCTATGAAAAGCTGGTGACAGAAATGGTGAAAAAACATTCAGTAAAAGGAGGAAAAAAAAATACCTTCAAGCAAATGATTCCGGCACTTAGCATTCCTGCAGATTTGGGGTATAACTGTTTCCATCATCCATTAGAAGGCAGGAAATGTTATGCTGGGAAACCCTGGAGTTCATGAGGACTATTTACACGGTAATTGATTAGGAGTAGTGAAATTTTTTTTCCTTTCTCCCCTCTTTTCAAGAAGCAAAGGAAGAACCCTTATTTTAAAAAGAAATTTGGGTAGAAATTGGATCTTCGGACACTTAGCCTAGCCATTACATTCTGTTCAACATAACAAAAATAAAAGGTACTCTTATGTGCTCCACGTACAACTGGTTAAGCTTGGCCAATAACCGGCATGAGTCGTGTCATCCTTTCTTAGGTCCCCCAAAGACTAGAGACCTGGGCAAGGGAGAGGCGATCCCCTGCGCTCTGGGGCGCTCCGGTTCCCCAGGGGAAGCCGCGTCCTCCTCGGGCTCCGGCATCCCGTCCAAGGCGAAGGGTCACGGCACCCGCTCTGGGAAGCGCTCGGTCCAAAACCGGAAAAAAGGAAAGGAACGTGGCCAAGTCCCCGGGGGGCGGGGGGCCGAGGACACCCCGGAGGTGGGAAGAATAGGAGACGAGGGGGGACGGTTCGCTTCGCACCCACCTTGGGGCGGCGCAGGGCAGCTTCGCGGGTTTCCGACTTTTTTTTTTTTTTTTTTTTGCGTGAGTAAAACTCCTGACCCACCCGGGTTTACGCAACTTTTTTAAGTGCAGAGGGGAAAACGGCGGTGGAGAGTAAGACCAGGCGATGGAAAAAGTCCGTATGACGTCACGTGGGCTTGGTTTGCAGGCATAAAAGGGAGGGTCTCTCCGCCAGCCTTCAGTTGTCAAACGACCTGAGCAGTGAGCGTCTGCACTCCCGGGATCTCCGCAGCGGCGCCTCCCGCAGGGCCACCTCCAGACGACAGCCGAGCCACAGCCAAGCTCCGCCCGCCGCGCTCCGCCCCGCCCTCGGCCACGATGCTCCGGGCCGCTCTGCTGCTCAGCGCCGCCTTGGCCATCAGCCGCGCAGGTGAGTACCGCGTGGCCTGCCCGCGCCCAGGCTGAGTTTCCGCTCAGACCTCGGGCCATCTCGGCAGGCCGACTCCTGAAGAGACGGGCTGGGTGAACTTGAACTTGAGTCCAAAAGAACTGGGAGGGTATCCCCGTTTTGCCACCCAGTCTGATCTCATGCACCAGCTCCTGAACCGGTCTAAGACTCACTCTCATCCACTACTCAGGAATAATGATCCTAATGTGCAGGTTGTCATTTTAAGACGGGATCTGATGGATACCTGTGAACCGTGTGTGTGTGTGTGTGTGTGTGTGTGTGTGTGTGTGTGTGTGTGTGTGTGTGCCACCTCTTGTTACCAAACAGCAGGCATTGTGTTTTCTTTCTTTCTGTTTTTGACTGAGGATTGAAGCCTCATGGCGCCTTAACCACTGAACCACAGGATTCTTTTTTTCCCGCTAAATTGCTTAGGGCGTCGCTATATTGCTGAAGCTGGTTTGGAACTTGAAATCCTCCCGCCTCAGCCTCCGGAGCTGCTGGGATTAAGGCATGCACCACTGCGCCAGGCAGGCCAGCAAACATTGTTTTAATTAATACTCTGGCCAGTCCTTTCCGGCCCCAGGGAAACGCAAATTATGTTTTTAAAACAAAACATTTGAAAAGTAAAAGCTGTTTTGACTTTGAAAAGTTTGCTAAATTTCAATTAATCTAGCCAGGAGCAAGCCTCTAATGCTAGAGACTCGGGAGGATGAGGCAAAAAAGATCGCAAGTTCAAAGCAAGCCTCAGCAATTCAGCAAGGACTAAAGCAACTTAGTGAGACCCTGTCTCAATAAAAACAGGCTGGGGATGTGGCAGAGTGGTAAGCACCCCTGGGTTCAATCCATGGGACTACCACTACTACTAATTATTACAGTACTAGATAAAATCCATTTGAAAGTGCTGCTTTAGCTTTTTAGAAACACTAATTTGAAAGTCTAAAAAGTTATTATAAAGAAACCTCAGAAATGTGAGTTGAGTAATCTGTTAATCTTATTTAGAATAATAAATTAGTATTTCTAGCATAATCCTTCAGTGAGAAGGGTTTAAAAATTATATTCCATGACTACTTATTTCTTGATAAGATAAATATATTTCTTATATTTAATATTGTAAAGATGCCCCATAGTTAAAATATGAAACATTTAAGTCAAGGTTAAGACACTGAAGAATGATTGATGTGCTGTCCTTACTTTTATATTGTAGCAAATCCTTGCTGTTCCAACCCATGTCAAAACCAAGGTGTATGTATGAGCACAGGATTTGACCAGTATAAGTGTGACTGTACCAGGACGGGATTTTACGGTGAAAATTGTTCAACACGTAAGTTTCCCCTTGAGTTTCTTTATATGTGTTGGGATTACATACAGATTTTTGTCTCATCATGAGTCTCATTTCTCTCTTGCTCTCTTACAGCTGAACTTTTGACCAGAATAAAACTACTTCTGAAGCCCACTCCAAACACAGTCCACTACATACTTACCCACTTCAAGGGGGTCTGGAACATTGTCAATAATATTCCCTTCCTGCGAAATTCAATCATGAGATATGTGCTGACTTGTAAGTACAAATCTCTTTCTAAGGTTTTCAGCTTCCTCAAAGAAACATATACTTTATAATAATGAAGATTACTAAACCCAATCCAAAAACCTATTTCCAACCTGTCAAAATGACTTTAAATGTAACTTTTTAGTTTGTCTGCTTAAAGATCAGAAATATTGACATTTGGTCCCATCTAGTTGATACAGTTCTGTCCTGTAGTCAATTCTACTCATCCCTCTAACTATTTCAGCCAGTTTGGATAGTTTTTTTGTTTTATTGGATATATATAGGACATAGAGGTATCCTAAACATTCACATAAGTGGTTAATTTGGATTTGGTTCAGAAAGAAATTGTATACTTCTGAAGTAGTGCCATGCACAACTATTCTTATTATAGGTGTCTTGAGCAGAGAATTGAAGCTACTGGAGAAATAAAAGATTGCTAGAGCATTGTACTCTTGTAAAGCATGTATATATTTTAGTAAATATGCATTTTCACTGGTAGTTACACTGAAATGTAGTGATTTTTAGAGTATCTTTGGAATTGAATTTAATTTCTGTTCTACTTTCCACATTTTAAAATAAAAATGAACATTGATTTGTTGTGCATATGGAGACCAATAAAATATTTTTTTCTTTAACTTTCAGCCAGATCACATTTGATTGACAGTCCACCAACTTACAATGTGCACTATGGCTACAAAAACTGGGAAGCCTTCTCTAACCTCTCCTACTATACCAGAGCCCTTCCTCCTGTGGCAGATGACTGCCCAACACCCATGGGTGTGAAAGGTGGGTGAGAATAAATGATTATGGAGGCATTAATTGTAGTAAAGATTGGATCACTACCTATAAAGTTCAAACCTAAACTATGAATCTGTAAACTTCCATTAAAAAATAATTATTATTAAAACAAAATTAATGCTAGTTTAAATATCCAACTTCTCCAATATCTTAGAATTTTCATTGATATTATGGTCCTCTTGACAACTGTATGTATCCTGTAAGTGATGAATGTCCTCAAAGTGACAGTCATGTCTGTCCCCTTTAATATGTAGATGGATTTTTATCTTTGCTTTATTCATTTTTCAGGGAAGAAGGAGCTTCCTGATTCTAAAGAGGTGTTTGAAAAAGTTCTTCTAAGAAGAAAGTTCATTCCTGACCCCCAAGGCACCAATATGATGTTTGCATTCTTTGCTCAGCACTTCACCCATCAATTTTTTAAGTCAGACCGGAATCGAGGGCCAGCTTTCACCACAGGACTGGGCCACGGGGTAAGACTGACTTAAATCAGAACTGTAGCAGATAATAAATGCTAACATTTGTACCATACCAAATAATTCACCCTCATTTTATAAAATGTCTATAAAAACCTAAGTAGAGTTCTCCATTTTAATTTACTGGTTTAGTAAAAGTATTTACACAGATACGCACAAAGATTCTTTTATTTGAAGTTTTTTGTTATGTATTTTTAAACTTTAGCACTGAAATGTCATGTGAAACAAGAATTTTATATCAATTCACTTTTCTAGGGTTTTTTTTTTTATTCTATTTTTTTCCCTGAAGTGCTAGGGATGGAACCCAGGATCTTACTAGTGGGCAGGCACTCTACACTGAGTTACAGCCCCAGCCCTCACTTTTTAATGTTATTTTTAGAAATATCATATGATTATAGTAAAGCATATAAAATTCTCAGCTCAGTAGGGGTACTAATACCTTTAAACACAAGACATAGGGGCTTGTAGATTCAGTGGGTAAACAAATTTTAATATTTTGTGGTTATAAAAAATTTGCTGTATTAAAATTTTAAAGAAAATGATCAAGTTATTTAATGATAAATTATATAAAAATCATAAGATTGTTCAACAGCAGCAAATTGAAAATATTCCATAATTTTCTAGGTGGACCTAAGTCATGTTTATGGTGAAACTCTGGATAGACAACATAAGCTGCGCCTCTTCAAGGATGGAAAACTGAAATATCAGGTATATGCCCTTGACTGCTAAAAATCAGTTATGACTCTTACACTTTATCGCTAGTGATAAAAATGTTTTTTAAGCTTTTATTAATGTTTATTCCTGTTTACAGGTGATTGATGGAGAGGTGTATCCTCCCACAGTCAAAGACACTCAAGTGGAGATGCTCTACCCCCCTCATGTCCCTGAACACCTTCAGTTTGCTGTGGGGCAGGAGGTCTTTGGTCTAGTGCCTGGTCTGATGATGTATGCCACAATTTGGCTACGGGAACATAATCGAGTATGCGATGTGCTTAAACAGGAACATCCAGAGTGGGATGATGAGCGGTTGTTCCAGACGACCAGACTAATATTAATAGGTGAGCAAGAGAAAATTATCTAAAATTATCTAAACTAAACCCTCATCCCCAAAGTATAGTTTATTAGTACCTTTGCTGTGGGGGCAGGAGTAATTCGAAAGGAATGTTAAATGAAAAACATAGACCATTAATTTGGTCTATGAGCATGATCATTAATATAACTACCTTTGATTTGATATTAATTTTAAAAAGAAAGAATAGCAAATTAACAAAATTGCATGTTAGTTGCTTGAAAGCTTGTAATCAGAAAGCATTAAGATTTTTAATTCTTTGTCTTGTGCAAATAGGGGAGACCATTAAAATTGTGATTGAAGACTATGTCCAGCACTTGAGTGGCTATCACTTCAAACTGAAGTTTGACCCAGAGCTGCTTTTCAACCAACAATTCCAGTACCAAAACCGTATTGCTTCTGAGTTTAACACACTTTATCACTGGCATCCCCTTCTGCCTGACACCTTTCAAATTCATGACCAGGAGTACAACTATCAACAGTTTATCTACAACAACTCCATTTTACTGGAACATGGACTTACCCAGTTTGTTGAGTCATTCAGCAGACAAATTGCTGGCAGGGTAAGCATTACTGAAACGAAAGACTGGCCAGTGACTTTAGAATTTCTGACAGAAATTAGTTTTCTTGAAGTTAGTAAAGGAAAAATCAATTATTTTACTACTAAAATTATTCTCTTAAAATAAGAAGCCTAAATTTTCTTTGATAACTAAAGCTTTAGTGCACAGTTGTCAAGAAAACAATAATACATACCCATACCTTTAATATTTTTAAACCTTTATATAAATCTTACAGATGATAGAAAAATGCATTGAAGACAGCTTCATTTGTATAACTTTAAAAGGCAAGTTAGTTCTAGGCTGTTGTTACAATGTATATGAGCAGGCTGGGGACATTGCTCAGTTGGTAGAGTGCTTGCCTCCCATGCACAAGGCCCTGGGTTCAATCCTCAGCACCATAAAAGAAAAAATAACAAAAAAGGTATATGTAAGAATCTTTCCAAGAGATAAAAATAGTTTACTTCTCTTATCTACTCTGAACATTGCTTTTTTTAAAGCAAAAGGAGTAAATATGCCTAAAAAATGTGTTTTAACAATTGAATTCATTTTGCACAGGTTTCTGGTGGCAGGAATGTGCCATCTGCAGTACAAGCAGTGGCCAAGGCCTCAATTGACCACAGCAGAAATATGAAATACCAGTCTTTCAACGAGTACCGCAAACGCTTCAACCTGAAGCCCTACAAATCATTTGAAGAACTTACAGGTATACAGTTTTCTAGACTCTTAAAAGAATCAAGGGTCTATGGAAATAACAGGGGAGGTGAAAGCAAACTGAAGGGATGAAATCCTTAAAGTTTTACATGGGATATATTTCTGTCTTCTTCACCTTCCCAGGAGAGAAGGAAATGGCCGCAGAGTTGGAAGCTCTCTATGGTGACATTGATGCCGTGGAGTTCTATCCTGCCCTCCTGGTGGAAAAGCCTCGTCCTGATGCCATCTTTGGTGAGACCATGGTGGAAATGGGCGCACCATTCTCCTTGAAAGGACTTTTGGGTAATCCTATATGTTCTCCTCACTATTGGAAGCCAAGCACTTTTGGAGGAGAAGTGGGCTTTAAGATCATCAACACTGCCTCTATTCAGTCCCTCATCTGCCGTAACGTGAAGGGCTGTCCCTTCGTCTCATTCAGTGTTCAGGATCCACTGCTCACCAAGACAGTCACCATCAATGCAAGTGCTTCTCACTCCAGACTAGAAGACATCAATCCCACAGTACTACTGAAAGGGCGTGCAACAGAACTGTAGAAGTCTATTGATCATATTTATTTATTTATGGATCATTCCTTAACTTAATATTTATATTAATATATTTATATTATAAATGCCTTATGTTACTTTCCATCTTCTGTAACAGAAGGCAGCAGTACTCTTATTAGAGAGGAAGGGGTCACACTTGTGGAAATTACTGTGTCACTACTTCTAAGATTATTTTCTTCTACTTAAGGGGGAAAAACAGTTCATTCTTTAGAAAACAATGGGAAGTGACTTGACATGTTATTACTTGAATTTCAGTGTATAGTATGTTAGAAGAACAAATGCCAAGGTATTTGAACATTCAAATACTTACAAGATGGAAATGCTGCAGTTTCTACACTGCCATTATTTTTAATCTGCCTTTTATGCTGCAATAGAACAACTACGGTTGGAATTTTAAAGGACTTTTGGGTATTCATCTGTCAAACAAGGGTACAAGACATTTAAATGAATATCTAAAGCAGACTCTACCAGTAATTTCATGTCTTTCTTGAAATAAGCCTTGAAATAATAATTTGAATCTAAATCCATGGGTAGAATCACTTTTAACAGCTCATTTGCTAAAGTTGTCAAACTTGTACTCATATCAATAAAAGAAGCAATCAAATTTAAATCTCCAAAACCAGTAGAAATTATAGTTACTGGTTAAAATTAGATTTTGGCTTTTTCACTAGGAGAACCTCCTTTAAAATCAAAATATCAAATTTTGGGGTTTTCACTAGGAGTGCAAATTCATTTATAATGTGACTATTACATAGACCCTTGATTCTTTTAAGAGTCCAGTTACAACTTAAAGATTTTAGAGTTTGTTTTTATGAACAATAACATGCTGAATTTATAGCAGAAAAACATCTGGGCATGGTGGTACACACCTGTAATCTTAGGACTTGTGGGGGTGAGGCAGAAGGATCTAGGTGAAACAGCAATTTAGTGAGACTTGTGTCACAAGATAAAAAGGGCTGGGGGTGTCACTCAGTGGTTTGAGTATCCCTGGGTTCAATCACCAGTACCACAACAAATATATTGATTAAATTTAATAACCAATAAAAAGGAAGAATTAAATTCAAATTCTAATTTGGATTTAAACTTTTGAAGCAGAATTTATTCTATCCTTATACTGCAGGATGGTACTCAACAGATTTTGCTTTGAGTTAAATGGAGTTCCGAGCTAGACTTGAACAATGATCTATTTTCTTAGATTTTCTTTTGTACAGTGATTTAGCAGTCACTATCACAGTGCAAAATGTATTAGCCCCATCAAAATCCTCTTTAAATCCATTTCACACAAATCTCAATAAGCCTTGGGCATTTGAATCAAAACCAGCCCTTCATGCTGCTCCTTAGATTTTTTTTTTTCCTGGTAGCTACTTTGTTAAAAGTAACTTCTGATTCAGCTTTTCTTTTATTTTTGTTTTCCTTGTTTTAAGATCAGAGCTCTTTGAACTCTAATATTGTCTTACTTGAACTTTTGCACATTTCAGGAAAACCTCAGCTCAGGACTACTAAGCTCCTCTTAGTAGGAATAAGCCTTGTTTTTAAAAATATATTTACTTTTAAGTGAATAGCAGAAAATTTATAACTTTAACCATCTATAACCAAGAATCTACAAAGAGGCTAGAACCTTAGAATTGTAAGATTCTAAGTACAGAAAAGGAAGTTACTTTTCTGTACTAATGAATGTCCAAAAAACTAGTAAGTAGTTGAGCATTAATAGTAAAAATAATAATGATGACAATAGTTTTCCACATCTCATTGTCAGCTGACATTTTATGGTACTGTATATTTATTGAGGATTATTATTTATGTTTAATTAGGATGTTATTGTTATAGACTGTTTAAGCCTGCAATCATTTTTTTTATTATGTCAGAATCAATATATTTTGTGATTACCTCTCTGAAATATGTAAATGATTTGGATTAAGTAGAATTGTGAATAAATTTTCAGGAACCTAATTCTGAGATTAAGATATTTAGAAGATTAGAATTTCGACTTTTGGAAATTTTCATATGCACATTGCCTCATTGACTGGGATATGCCATAGAGATGGGTCTTATATATTTTGAAGGACCTGTGGCTGCATTCAATCATTCAACAATTATTTATTGAAAATGTTCTGTGCAAAGAACATTGGTTTTAGTATTTTGAAATCAAGCACCAATTACAGACAGCATCAATATTTGTGTAAATAACTGAAAAAAAATGTGTCTCTTAGGAAAGAAATGTTATTAAAGGAATAACTCAGGAAAATTTTTCTTTGGGATTTTTTTATGCCTAAAACATTTTGAAGATAGTCATCTTCGAAAAGCTTATAAACTGCTAACTTCTGGGATTTTTTCGGTGGGTTTTTTGGGGGAGAGGGACAAACCAACTTGACTGTTACAAACATCAACCTGCTGACTATACCTGAAAATTAGGGTTGTGTGTGAATGTTTCAGTGCCTTAGACAAATGTATATTTAAATTAACTTATGTAAAACATGTCTTGAGACAAACGACAGTTTATTTTTGTACTATTTAAAAAATGAAATCTCTTTTGAAAATAAATGTTAGACTGTTATCTTTGTGGCACATGATTTCTCTGAAACCTGATCCTTACATTGTCTTGGGTTTTATTTATTGGAAAATAGGCTGGCCCTCAATGAAATGGTTCTGCCCTCAGTCATGTAGAGGCCCCTAGAGTCATCATTTATTTTGTTTATTCATTGAAAACCTGTGTTGAAATGGGCTTTGTGCTGTTGGAGAAAGCGACAAGCTCGTTTTCATTTCCTCTAGAAGAAGAAAACAGAAGCCACAAAAGGCAAAGAATAAGACAAATGTTACAAAATAAAAAGGAAGTTCAGGAAGGAAGAGATTGCTCAATTCCTTTGCACTCCTACTTTTATTAAAGTCTTGGTGGTTTCAATGTCTAGATGGACCACACGGTTGACATCTTCCCAGGCCCCTCTTCCCATATTTCCCATAATCACATGTACCTTGATCCCATCATCATTCATTACACACTACCCTCAAAGTCTTCATTTCAAGTATGCAACTTTACTACCAACTCTTTCAGCTCACATACTATTGCACTCACACTCTGACATCTAAGTCACCAATTTCACTGAGACCTTGGGATCCATCAACCTCTTCACATCATTATGTAGGATCCTTTTCATCTCTTCAAGATTCCTCTGCTCCCTGTTCACTCTCCCTCTGTTGCACTTAATTGGCACAATTTTCTAAATTTCAGCCACTCTCCTTAAGTTTCTCATTAGAATTCTCAGTGGTGTTTCACATAAATGTCTTTTTTTTTTGGTCCCAGGGATCGAACCCAGGGGTACTTAACCACTGAACCATATCCCCAGTGTTTTTTTTTCTTTTTAAAAAATTTATTTATTCATTCCAGTTTGTTATACAAAACAGCAGAATGCATTTCAATTCATAGTACACAGAGAGCACAATTTTTCATGTCTCTGGTTGTTCACAAAGTAGTCATGTACCCTAAGTACACTTGTGTCTTCGTACATGTACTTAGGGTAATGATGACCATCTCATCTCATCTTACCTACGCCCATGCCTCCTTGCTTACCTCACAGCTTCTTATATTTTATTTTGAGACAGGTTGTTCTTGAGTTGCTTAGGGCCTCACTAAGTTGCTGAGGCTGGTTTTGAACTTGTGATCTTCCTGCCTCAGCCGCCAGAGCTGCTGGGATTACAGGTTTGTGCCACCACGTCCAGCTCCAAATGTCTACTTCTTTATGGATTTTTTTTTTCTTGGCTTCATGGTATGATGCTCTCCTGGTCTTTCTCCACCTTTAAAGAGTATTGCTGCTCAGCCATGTTTTTGTTTGGTTGGTTTTGTTTTATGCTCAAACTCTACTACAAATTGAAGTGCCTGGCTCCCTTTCTACTCTGCATTCTTCCAGATTAATCACATCCAACCTCATAATTTGAAACAATAATCAATTCCATATTCAAGACTCCAGGATCAACATCTAACTGTTCATTGACAGTCTCTCCACTTGAATTCATAAATTTAATAGCTTATTTTATTTCTCTGCCTTTCCAGACCATATGCCCTAAAATAATAATTACCCAAAATTGAAGACACTATCATCTCCTAGTTTTTAAGCAAAAAACTTTCTTCACTCCCACGGCCAATCCAGCAGCAGTAACAATCCTGTTGACTACAACCTACAAACAAATCCTAAATTTATCACCTTTTTCTCCAATTCCATGCTATCAACCTAGGTAGTTCATAGTCTCTTCATCAGTTCTCTCTCTTCTATTCTCTGTTCAAATCATTCCTTTTAGCAGTGGGATCATTCTCCTGGGGTGTTTTTGTTTCTGTTCTTGTTTTTCATGGTACTGGGGATAGAAACCAAAGGCACTCTACCACTGAGCTACATCCTGGCCCTTAATATTTTTTATTTTGACACAGAATCTCACTAAGTTGCTGAGGCTATCCTCAAACATGCAATCCTCCTGCCTCAGCTTCCAGTGTCATTGGGATTATAAGCATGTACCACCGAAGAGTAATCATTTTTAAACAGAAATCAGATCGTGGCTTCCCTATGTTTAAAATCTTCCAGTGGTTTCCCACTACACAAAGGCTAAACTTCTTGTCCTACCATAGAAGAACCTGTCTATCTCCTGTCTACATATCTGATCCCATCTACTTTGATTCCCTACCTGATTTTGTTCATTTCTGTTGCTATAATAGATTTTCTGAGACTGGGTCATATGGCTGTTGGCTCTGGAGGCTGAGAAGTCCAAAACCATGTCACTGACATTTGTCTGGCTCCTGGTCAGGGCCTCACACTGCACCAACCCATGATGGAAAGCAGAAGGGCAAGTGGGCTTGTGCAAAGAGAGGGGGAGTCCCAATACCAGACTCAATCTTGGAGGAGGTCTGCATTAATCCCCTCACAAAGTTGGAGGCCCATGATCCAAAAGCCTCTTAAAAGGCCCCACTGTCTCTCAATACCATTATATTGGCAAGTAAATTTCAACACAAGTTTTGGTGAAGAGACAGCATCTCCAGGGGCTGGGGATGTGGCTCAAGCGGTAGCGCGCTCGCTTGGTATGCATGTGGCCCGGGTTCGATCCTCAGCACCACATACAAACAAAGATGTTGTGTCCGCCGAAAACTAAAAAATAAATATTAAAAATTTCTCTCTCTCTCTCTCTCTCTCTCTCTCTAGAGAGAGAGAGAGAGACAGCATCTCCAAGCCCCAGGACCACCTTGTTCCTTACTCTTGTCACATTGCCTTTCTTGTGATATGCTCCCTAGCACTCATTCTCAAGATGTGGCCTCTACCTAGTAATTGGTTTTCCTGCCTATTTTTACCTCGCTGTGTTATTCTCGGTATTGAAATCTCAAGTCAAAGTTCCTCTTCAGATGAGACTTCTTCAATCACCCAAACTAAAGCAACTATGAAGGCCGCCCCCTCTTCATACCATTTATTTCTATCTGATATTCCTCGTTTGTAATTACTTTCTCTACCTCCTCCTTGGAGTTTTATGTTCGTAAAAGAAAGCACCTTATCTGTATTATTCACTTTTTTCTGGCTAAAATAACTCAGATATATTATCTGGATAGAGTCTTAGATGTCAGTGCCTGACATTTAAAAGACATTTGGAAATAACATAATTGATGGATAAGAATGGCTTCAAGAGAGCAACAGAATATGTGGGGACTCTTGAAGAAAGAGTGAGTTCTTAGAAAGCAGAGATAGCTACTCTGGGAAAATGTGGCAGTTTCTTTTACAACTAAAATTGTATTGTCATGAATGTTTTGCTATTCTCCTATTGCTATTAACCAAGTATCTCACATTTTCTGGCTGAAAGAACTCAGATGTATTATCTGGAGTCCTGGCTGTCAGAAGTAAGAAATAGGTCATATGGGCTAAAGCCAGGTTATCAGCAGGGCTGACACAGGAGGGCCCTTTCCTCTAAAAGCTCTAGAGGAGCTTCTTCTTGTCT